AGGGCATTAGGAGCACTTTTTGTTGCACTTAGGCAACTCTGGGTGAGGTCTTGGCTGGGAGCTAGTCACCAGAATGACCAGGCCATGATTAGAAGCTTGTAATTTTCAGCTCAACCCCCCATCCTCTAGAGAGGAGAGAGGGGCTAGCAATGAAGTTAATGATTAATGATGCCTACCTGATAAAGCCTCCATGACTGTTCCAAAAGTAGGGGGTTTGAAGAACTTTCAGGTGCGTGAACACATCCACCTATCAGGAGGGTCCCCAACTCCATGGGGACAGAAGCACCTGCGCCCTCCTGACCTTAACCTATATATTAGTATTTCTTCATTTGGGTGTTCATCTGTATCCTTCATCATATCCTATCTAATAAAGAGGGAATATTCAAATTGACCATCACGCCATCACAAATATGGCAGCGCCCACAGCAGAGGCGGGGTTTCCGCAACACAAGATGGCTGCACCCACAGCGGAGGCCCAGTTCCCATAACGAGCCTTAACGAGCAATCAGCAGGGACCTGAGCCTGCGTGGTGCTGGGCCGGGGTAGGGGACCTGAGGCTGTGCCCCCCATCCAGTGGGGTTTGACAGGGGAACTCAGGCAGCACCCCCTGCCCCACCGCCAAGCCAGGGGAACTCAGGCCACGGCGCCCGCCCAGCGGGCCTTGATGGGGGACCGCAGACTGTGTCACCCGCCCTGGTGCTGGGCCGAGGGACCTCAGGTCACACACACTCCACCCTGGCACTGGGCTGGGGGACCTGAGGGTGTGCTGGGGGACCTAAGGCTGCACACCCTGCCTGGCGGGGTTTGACGGGGGACCTGAGGCTGTGCCACCCACCCTGTGGGGCTTGACGGGGGACCTGAGGCTGCACCCAGCACTGGGCCAGGGGACCTGAGGCTATGCCCCCTGCCCGCAGGGCTTGACAAGGGTGGGGCTGGCCAGGTCTGGGTCTCATGCAATTTTGAGGTGCCGCAGGTGGGCAGGGACTCGACTCTGGGTCCTGCAACGCACCCCAGACTCTGATAGGAGGAAGATTTTCATATATGTTTTACTAATTTTCTTTCATCTCTGACACTTCTATTATAGAGAAAGGGCAAATAGCAATATTAAAATATTTTCTCTAATTAATTCCCTTTTAATGTGCATGAATTTCATGCACTGGGCCACTAGTACTGTATAAACTGGTAAATGTAAGTACTGTAACTGTTTTCCTGAATTCTGTGAGCCACTCTAGCAAATTAAATGAACCTGAGGAGAGGGTCATTGGAAACTGATTTTTAATCAATTGATCAGAAGCACAGGTGACAACCTGGATTTGGGACTGGCATCTGAAGAGAGATGGGGCAGTCCTGTAAGACTGAGCACTTAACCTGTGGGATCTGACACTAGATAGTACCAGAACTGAATTATAGGACAGCCGTTTGGTGTTGCAGAGAAATGCTTGTTGTGGGGTGTTGGGGGCCAGATGTAAGCTGGCAAGGTCCTTGCACCTGTAGGGGCTAGCAAGGCTGGGACCCTTACCCACACAGTTTTCCCAGACTTGTTTGGATGGCGATTATCAGTAGAATGAGAGCAACCTTTGTAGAATAAGAACAGCTTTTCATAGCTTACCAAGAAGTCTGTAACTATTTACTGAGATATGCTGTACTGAGAACTTGTCCTTCTGCTGTGTCTCTCCCTTAGAGATTAAGAGGAACAAAGAATACATTCCTCTTGACAGACCTCCTATTCATTGTGTTGTGTATAAATAAGATTGTGTGGCTAATAAACTGGCTTCAGTTCTTCGAGAACTGGGGTCCTCCCGATCCCGCTTTCCTGTCTTTCTTTTCTCAATTCCCACCTCCCTGCCTCAGCCCGGCTCAACTTTGCAGGCTGGCCCTGACAGTGGGTAAAACAACCCATATTTGGTCACCAGAATTGTCAGAAGTGAAGTGTTCTGCGTGAAAGTAAAGGAGACACAGGAGAGGGATGGTAGATTTTTTCCAATATAGTAGGGAAATTCAAATCAAAGCCAAATGAAATACCACTTCACACCCATTTAGAATGGCTATTATTAAAAAAAAACCTCACAGAAAATAACAAATGATGGTGAGAATGAAATGAGTGAGAACCCTTGGCATCACTGATAGGAATGAAAAATGGTGCTGTAACTATCATAAATGGTATGGTGGTTCCTCAAAAAATTAAATATAGAATTGCCATGTGATATAGCAATTCCACTTCTTGGTATATACCCCAAAGAACTGAAAGCAGGGACTCAAATCAATATTTTTACAGCCACGTTCATAGCAGCATTATTCACAATAGCCAAAAGGTAGAAGCAACCCAAGTGTCCCTCAATGGGTGAATAAACAAAATGTGGTATATACATACAATGGTATATTTATTATTCAGCCTTAAAAAGGAAGACAATTCTGAGACATGCTACAACATGGATGAACCTTGAAGACATTATGCTAAAGTGAAATAAACCAGTTACAAGAGGAAAAATAGTGTTATGATTCCACTTATATGAGGTATCTAGAGTAGTTAAGTTCATAACAGTCAGAAAATAGAATGGTGATTACCAGGGGATGGGTATAGGGAAAAATGGGGAATTAGTATTTAATAAGTATGGAATTTCAGTTTGGAAAAACAAAAATTTCTGGTGATGGATAGTGATGATGGTTGCACAATGTGAATATAATTAATTGCTATATTATACACTTAAAAGTGTTCAAATGGTCAATTTTATTTTATGTATATTTTACCAGAATAAAAAAAAAACCATACTAAAGCTATCTCCCAGGAATTGTTAGAGTCAAATAAGATCTATATAGAAAAGCTTTGTAATCTATTTGGCCCTTCACAAATATTAGCTTTTTAATCATTGTCATCCTGTTTACCCCAACCTCATACCATTATCCTCATTCACTATCCAGCCCAGCAGCATACTTTTGGAGTTTAACTGCTGTCCAATGATATCCACCTTCATTTTGCTGAGTCCTAGATTGCACATGCCAAAGCAATAGCCTCTCAGAGTTCTGGTTCTGAAACAGAACATGCCACCAAATAAACAAAGGTTTTAGACAGGCAAGCCTGGTGGGTTTTAAGGATAAAAAATCAGACTTCCTTTCCTTACTCAATTTTCCCCAATGCTTGGCTTGGTAGCAGTCCTCATCAGCAACAAGAGGTCATCGTGCCATTGCCAAGAACACGGGAAATCTTCCTCCAATTAAGTTGACCACCTAAGTCCTTGCCCTGCTCCCAAGCAACGTATCTCATAAGGCAGCCTTTGAGCTGGTGAAGAATCCCGAACCTTCTGGGTAAGGAATACAGGAAATGTATTCACTGAGTAGGAGTTGAGAAGAAAAGTAGTTAGGTAAGAAATAAAAAATGAAAATGCTAAAATTGAAAACCAGAATGACCAGTTTTGATGGATTGGACAACTGGCTGTAGAGTAGCTTCAGAGCTGAACCCTTAAATATCACCAGAAAGTACAGTACTAGTGCGATAACACAGTAGTATCAAACTTAGGAATGTTGTTTCTTTCTGGACAGCAAGCCAATTGTTTCATCCAGATACTGACCAGATCTCTGTAAACATTCAGGTGTTCTCTGGGGGTCCCAAGTTTCCTTAGGCGCTGCTCACTGAGTATTTCTCCTAACATTGGTAATGCTACAGTGCCTTCTGGGATCTTTTTCATGCAATAATGCCTGTCCAGGAGTTGCTGCCTTTCCAGGTATTCCCTGGAGGATCAATGAGGGATTTCATTCCATTGATTCTTTGAGGAGCTTTAAATGTGGGTCAAGAATGAAGTAGTACTGACCCCAGTCTTAGAAGCCTGGCCTTCTATGGCCAGGAAAAAGAACCTAAGCCTCTGTGACCTCACACTCTTGAATGTCTGCTTCCTTCAATTTTATGTTATCTAAGATTCTTAGCAACATCAACACAATTGGATACAAACTCAGAACTTTTCCACAAAACTTTCTGCCAATGATCCACAAATCTTGACTGTAGTTTCCCAAATTCTTTGATTCTCCACTATGTGCCTTTTCTCTTCTGCTTAAAGGTCCCAAATAACACCTATCCCATATATTTAGCCCCATTTGTGTAGAAATGCACCTTTCCTAGTCCCCCCGCCACACCTCTTCATTGTGCACCTACATCGTTGTGTTAACCAAGGCTCAGTCATAAAACCTACATCAGTGTCATCCCATCTTGTCTTCATTTTGCTATAACTGGGAGGCAAAAGAAATATGTCACTCTGGAAGTGTCGCAGTAAATGGAAAAAGACTCTTCTGAACAACAGACACTGAGGTCATTAGCACATGGCCTATAAGTGAAACTCTATAAAAAAGCAAAAGTTTAGGAAATATACCTTGCACCCACCTCCTCTTTTATAACAGTAGAGTAGGGATGGCTGATGAAATGATAGAACCAACAGTCCATTCTCCACAGAGTAACTGCAATGGAACAATCACTGGCTTAGTGCCTCAACCCGTTCTTGGGTGGTTCATTATTGTGAGTCATTGATCCACCATCACTAGGTCACATACTCTTCTTTTCCCTCAAAAATGGTAATATGTTAAACCATCCACATTTTCTCAGTAATAGTGGGAGGCAGTAAGCATTTGGTCTCTGGAGTCAAAGCAACCCTAGTTCAAATCATGCCTTAGCTGCTTGTTGCGTACCACCAGTCAATGATGTTTCCTGTTCTAATTCTTTCAGCCACTCCGCCCCAACACCACCATCAAGCACACAGAGCCCAAGGGCTAGACAAGAGTAAAGAGGGGTCTGTTCTCCCTTTACCGCCCCAGCTATGTGTTAATGCTCTGACGTTGAATGCCCCTCATTCTTTCATTCTTCTAGGCTGCCTCCACTCTCCCTTCCTCCATACACTCACAGCTTTTACAAGACAATCTTTTGCACGCCCTGGGGCGGGGCCAAGCACTTCCCTCCCCTAAGAGGGAGTAATTAAAACCAAAGTGCCACCCTTGTTAGGAAATGACTTCCCTGTTACCTTGGTAACGCCGCTGCTGCAATCATTATTGTGGTCAACAATTACTTGTATTAGCCTAAAAAAAAAAAAAAAAAAAAAGAA